AAAAATAAAAACAGAAATGATTTGATTTTCACGTGACTTCCGTAGTAATTTGGTTTGGTTGGATCGGCAACGCGGGACCTCTCTATCGGTCCTCATTTTACTATCTCACAATACAATTTTGATAAAATCCATAATAAAGATGATGATAATAATGATTTTGAAGGTTACAACTATTTATTAGAAATATGGTTGTCTAATGATGATGGGGTAATTAGTTAATTGGTGATTTGTTTAATAACGCATATACATAATTAATGTTATACTCATGCCAGGGTTGGAAAATTGACTGGTCCATTGAGAGCTGATGGACTTTGGACTGGTCCATTACCATTAATAAATTACTAAATATGGCTAAAATGTTACATTAATGGATCACCAATAGACCATACATTTGCCAACATTGACTCAGACCATCAGTGAATATGAAAAAGAAAACTTAACAAAAATCACAAATATGACAGCCAAAGATCTTTGGTTAAAAGACTTGGATGTATTGGAGGCTGCATAGAACGAATTTAATGATCATCAACAATCACACAATAATAATACAGAAAAACATAGAATTTATGATGATGACGACAATGATGATCATCAAATAAAGCATCAACAAGTAAAGGTAAGTTAAGCTTTGATTATTGTGTATGGAAAATTATGATTTTTTTTTTAATAAATTTATTTTATATTTTTTTTAGTTGGAGGAAGAGCATTGAAAAGAAGAAAATGTTCTAATTAATAGATTATATAAATAAATAAATTTATTTATTTCATCTTTAATTATGATGAAAACTTGTATTTTCAAGTGTTCCATAAATCTTGAACCCTGAAATGTTCTCTTTGTCTGGTTTTGTTGCAGCATGCTCCAAATTAGTTCGTGAAGAAGGTTTTAAAAAGTACTCCGCCACCCCTTTTACGTTCTGTTGTCTAACTTGATCAATTTAACCATATATGGGGCATGGGGATCAACGTCAAAATCACGATGTTTGAGAAAATTGAAAAAAGATCTGCATTTCTATTATTATTTTTTAAACCTTTAATGGAAAATATATCAATTTTTATTAAGTCAGCATGGTTACTAAACTAAAATTAATTTTTGTGATGAATTGCATATATAAATTTTGTCAACTCAAAAACATGATCTTTGTAATTTCTCCTTGTTTACTATTTTTTAATAGTTTCCAAATTAAAATTATTTCTTGTGACAAGTTACGTATATATGTGATATCAACACAAAATTATGATTTTTGATGTTGACACCCTTTCTATGCCCATATATATAATTCAAATATATTTTTTTAACTTGTTTAATGACATAATCCACGATTTAACGGTATTTGGAGTTTTTTTAACCACAAAATTCAACTTTAAACATGTTTTTACTTGATGCACTGGTCCCGATCTGGTTAATAAAATTTTGAACTGTATAATAATTGGCGTAACATTTCCAAAATGATCATCATGTGGTATGTAAATGAGTTGTACAGTTAGAATACGTTTCACGATTTCTATCTTTATTTGTTCTAAGAAAATCTAAATAAATAAATACGTAATAAAAATAATAATAATAAATAATCTCCTTTTTACATTTTACGTCAATTGGACGTTAGTGATAATTATCGTGGAAGCGTAAGTAGCTATTAAAATAAATTGATGCCAAAATAATAAAAATACATAATAAATAATACATAATAATAATAAATACATATAATTATAAAAATTCCCTTGTTATATTACATTAAGTTTTTGGGAATAAATAACATGAATATTTGTAAAAGTCTTGTACTCGGTCAATTCGTCCGGTAAAACTTCGATAAATTCATTATATTGATCAATCCCTATACCCCAAGCAGGTATTAGAACAGGCCCTAAAGCTTTTGAGAGTAGTATCAAATCTTCCGACATAATTTCACCGACTCTTTCACCCCATTTACCTATAGGAAGTAGCCTCATTTTATGCCTGATGTTTGTTAAACTTTCATATGATGCAAAAAGTTCTTCGAGCTTATTCGAATATGTTATATCAATATCTTTGGTTTTCATTATTGCAATCCCTTTGAATAATATGGATAGAGAATAATTAATTAATTCAGCTGATTCATTATAATTCATTCCATTCGATGTACCTCTGCATTTTACTTACATGCATCTGACATTCTTTTTGAAACAGGTCCTCTATTCAACGCAGGAATTTCAAATTCGGAACTCTTAAGGAAAATATAAAAATATTTTGTAAATAAATATAATCGATATATAATAATTATTATAGCCATTATTTATTATTTGTTTGTTTATTTATATTATCTATATCTACCTCGATATATCCACCTGGTTTAGTGACCCTGATTAATTCTTGTATACAAAATTTCCAATCACTTAATGAAAACGCAGTTATCATATTTCTTATAACCACAAAGTCAAACGTATTGTCATTGAAAGGTAAACCTTTTAAAACATCGACTTGTAAAAATTCTACATTGCCAGGTTTAACTTGTGATGGATACATTGGCGAAATGTCTATTCCTGTAAATTGTGATTGTGGAAATTCAGAAGCCATCTCAAGAATCCATGTCCCGCTACCACATCTAATTATTATCATCATCATCATTATTATTATTATTAAATACAATTAAAAAATTTTATTAAAATAAATAAATAATTAATTTACCCGACATCTAAAACTTGCGCATTTCCATAATTTAATAAATTTTTTACTGGAGAACAAAAATTTTTTTGCCATATAAATCTCGTAACGTAATGTTGCATGTGTAATCTATCAGCCTCCTCGTCATCGTTTGGTAAAGAGTATTTTGAATTTTCGAGATACCTTCTACCATCAATATAAACATTAATTTCGTCTGACTTTTTCGATGAGTGTCGAGAATTCTTTGAACTTTTTGAGTTTAATGAAGGTACATTTGTAAATTTTTTAAATCTAAATTTTTTATTGTGTTTATTATTAAAGCTATTAAACCGATTATCACTAACGTTATTACCCATAATTTAAATATTCTGAATTAGGTAAAAATAAATATAATGAAGGAAGAAATGCAAGAAAAAGAATTACAAAAAAATATTCCTTCTATTTATATATATATATACGGGTAATATATATGGCAATATGTATAAATATATGCGTATACATATAAAGTATATATCTTCTATGTTAATTATTATTATTGCTATTATATTTCATTATTTCAAAAAAAGCTATTTTTTTCTGAAGGGAAGAAAGAAAAAACTAAATGAGTTTTTTTTTTGTCATAAAAAAAAAACGAGTTTTTTATATAATCACAAAAAAAATACACAAAAAAAAAAAGAATCATAATAGTAAATATTTACGTGCATTATTAAAATATTGCATTACTAATAATAGACAAATAAGTCAACAATGCCGCCCGCCCTTTTAATATTTATAATAAATTACAAATAAAGGTAACAAACTCCAGTGTTTTAAATTTAAACAAGGTTGTTACTTGCAAATTGAATAAAAAACTTCATTTAAAATTAAATACGGAATTTGCAGTATCAGTACTAGTACTAGTACTAGCATTGGTTTAACTGTTTTCGATTCTGCACATTGACAATTACAACGTCACTTTTTTTTTAAATGCTACATTCGCTGTGCATTATTGAAGGTTATGAACATTTATTTATTTACATAGTCAATTACGTATTAGTATTCTTAGCAGAGCTAACAAGTAATTATTAATTTAATGTTTTTCCCTGATTATCTTGAAAACCTCTAACATATCAATTGTATAAAATTTAATTTATTTATTTATTAACGAATTTGTAAAGCTGCCAAGATTTGTATCTCATTCATGTTGTGTAATGCTCCTAAGGCATATTTGATTAACAATCGATGGAAACGTAACTTTACGGTTTGAAAGAAACTTGTATGATAAAATAAATCAAAATTCAAAAGATAATATATGTAGTTTTTTTTGAAGCTACAAAATAAATATATTAATATTAATATTAATATGTGAAACGAATTATTGAACACACAATGTATTAAGGTTTAAAAAACCAAAATCCCGAAACGTAAATTTTTCCATTGTTCAAACTCACATGATATGCGCCAAATTAAGTGATCGGATGGGGCCCGTATAAATAAATAAATTAAATAAATAACAAAATTTTTTTCTAAAAATGTCAACGTTTCGAAATAAACCATTGAATCAATCCAAAGTTGTTTCTTTGATAAACCGAAACCATTTCTTATTTATCGGATTACCATTAATTTTATCAATTACAATTGGTTCATATGGATTAAGCTATTTAACACAAACCAGATATGATATTCAAAAAATGAAAACTAAAAAGGTATTAGCAATTCATGTAAAGAGGATGATGACAAATAATAATAATAATAATAATCCATCATTATTATCATCATCATCACTAATTAAATTGAATATTTTGGGTTTTTTAAAAAAAAAAAGTTGGAAAAAGAAGAATTGCTTCAAATAAATAATAATAAAAAGAGATTTAATTTACAAGAGGAATATTGGGTTCAGTATAAAATTATTCAATTTCACTTTTTATTACTAGCGTTAACGTTATCAAGTATTATTACTATTACTAATCAGATTTAACAATTTTATTTTAGAATTTGCTTGCAGAGAAAGATTTAGATGATTGGGAAAATAAGAGATTGGAAAGGCAAAATGGACAGTTTGATGGAATTTTAAGATAAAAGAAAATTTATTTAAGATTTAAAAAAGATTTAAAAAAAAATAAAAATATTATTTTTATTTTGTTCTTTCCTCTCATTTAATAATAATAATCATTGCCAAATGGTTTTTACTTTCTTTTTCTTTATTAATTTTCTTTTATTTTTGTTTATTTTTGTTTCACTTTTTCCCATGTTGATCAAAGCTCTTTCCACTCCTTTTTCTTGACGTTTTTTTGCCTTAAACGACAAGTTTTTAATTTTTGTCTTTTTAACTTTGTGTAATAATAATCTACTGTTGTAATTCCCTTGTTTTATGTTCGATGTTATTTGTTCTTTACGATAAAGATGTTGATTGTTTTGTAAAATTTTAATAAAATAAATACAACTTCTTGATATTTTAACCCAAATCTTCCTTCTTACCATTTTTCCCCCCTTTAACCTCTTTAGTCTCTTCTTGATTTAAAAAAATTTCTTCTATTTGCATATTGTCTGATAGTTTTATTGCTGTATCTGGTTTATCTGATCTATCTATTTGCATTTTATTTTTTCCTGAAAATAAAATAAATATAAATATATAAATATGTATGTGTGTGTGTGTGTGTGTGTGTATGTATATGTATGTATATATCAAACATTATAATAAATTATTTTCTATACTTTGTTTTCCCATTTTTCACCAATATTTTATATAATATTAATATTATAAAAAAAAAAAATATATTGTATCGCCATCACATTTAATTTTCTCTGGGTCATGTGATTTGGACCACTTGATCTTTGTATTACAAATTGTTTTTTATTGTTCGTTCGATATTTTTATATATAGTAAAAAAGATGAATTTTTCTTCCAATTTCAGCTAACAAATAGATAGATAAACTTATCAGTGGATAATAAAATAATAAAATATAATATGTGATTAAATTAACTTGCCAAGTGCATGAATATTCACAGTCATAAAGTGAATTTAATAAAGTTTCAAAATGATGCATTCCACATAACACCTTCAAAACACTTGCAAAACTTCTGGTGCATCCAACATGTGTATAAATTAATGGACACTTTTTTTTAAAAGTCAACTCTTACAAAATATTTATATTCCATGATCAAAGAAAAAACGTTTGCTGCAGTTTTGAAATCACAGTTTATTAGGACCTCGAAAATAATCTTGGTGGATGGTACATTTGGGTTTAATAATAAATCACCAAATTTAAATATACCATTAATCCAAAAAATGTCATTTTTTGATCCAAGATCCAATTTTTCTTTCAATAAAAAGATCTACATGAAATTTAGCTCGATTTGAATATTTTGATCGTTGGACTGCAATTAGAAAGGTAAATTTTTATCCAGTCCCATCGTCAGGATTTCTCCTAGCCATTTTGCATTTCATCTACTACAAGGATAATGGTCAAATCATAATGTTATATTGTACTTAGCAAATAGAATTGTTCTCAGTGTGACGCCACCCTCAAAAAACCATACATCCTCCAATTTCCTGATTGTTTCCTTTGCAAATCATGATTTTCCTGCAGAAGCTAGAGGATAATTCTTCCTGTTTTGAAGCTTGTCTAGCATTCTATCAAATCTTCTTAAAGGGAAGTGCCCCAAATGACATCATTTTTGCTTTTTGCTATATCCAATTCCTCATCAGGGCTGGAAATAGTATTTCCTTTAAATTATTTTTTTTTGGGTTTATCTCCTTGGAAAATTTGAATTTCAACGGCTGGGGTAAAGGGGTAAAATTTCAAATATTTGGAAAATTGCATCATAATCATGCAGTAAGCAGTAGTTGCAAATTTTAATAAATAAATAAATAAATGTACAATCGACAAATCTTGTTCTTTATTTAATCAGAATAGATGATAAAACATTGGTGGATAAATCAACAACAAAAAATTGAATATTTGCAATCAAGTTATTTTAAGCGTTATTATTTGTGGTGATGGCCGACTTAAAAATTAAAAGGGTTATTAACCTTTTTGTCATGCATATGGTAAATCTATCATTTTTGGTTTTATTGTAATCCTTTTTTAAAAAAATTTGTTGCAGCGATGATGGAAATCAATTAATCATTTGCTAAAATGTAATCACCCTACAAATACTTGTGCTTCAAAAAAAACATTGAAATCAAAAATTCATCTCCAGATTATTTTGAATTTTCTAAATTAGTAATATTTTCAAGTCAATCATGGTTTATCTTGTGAAACTTCATTTCATTTACTTCAAATTTTAGATTTATATTGGCGAGTTAAAACTATTTGATTATTTTGTAATAATTAAATGCCATTTGATTTTTGCAATTTTTGTGTTTTAAGTACACTAAGTTCTACTAAATAAAGTTAGTTATATGAAATAAATAAATGGGGCATACTGCAACGAAACAAGACAAAGTGAACATTAGTGTTACAAAGAATTTCAGGGATCAAAATTTAGTAATGTGATTATTAAAATCCCATTTGTTATCCTCTTGATATTAGGTGATGTATAGAATTACCTCTATATAAAAATAGTTAATGTGAAGTTAATTTACATTAGGTCTACCATGAAACCAAATAATTACAGCACCATTAGAAGAGAGAACAAGGTGAAAAAATTGCTCCTTATATTTTCAAAATAAAATGGTACTCAGACACTTGAAGCTTGTCTAAGAAAGAAAGGATTACCTATGAAATTTACCAAGAAGAAAGAAATGTTAGAAAAAAAAAAAGCAGGATAAAAGTGTGTTATTATTACCCAACAAAAAGCAAAAATCATAACAATTATAAAACTAAAAAGTTATGCCTGCTATTCATCATCAAATAGATTTATCATCATAATTTTCTTTATTCTTTGAAATATTGTTTTTGCGTTCATCAGCAGCTTTGGCAAAATCTTCATCTTTTAAGTCAGAGACAGTAGTTTTAACATGATAGAGGTGGTGATGGTGTTTTGGACTTCTTTTTCCTTCATTATTTTTTTTAAATTATTTGAAACATGAAGCATTGTATGATAGTGATATACAATGAGCCAATTAATATTAATAATAAAGTTCATCACAAATGCCAAGATTTATACCATTAATAAAAACTAACCCTAAGAGCCAACATATTTTCTATAAAATACAAAAGAGAAGAATCAGAGTGTAGTTTTATATGAACAGGAAGTATGGAGGGTGTGCATTTATCTCCAATTCCTGAGGTTGGGAATGAGACATAGCATGCATTTATAGAGGGTGCACTTATGGAGGGTTCACTGTATTCCATGTTGAACCTATTAAAGTATTGAAATGAAAAGCATTGGTTTTTTTTTTAATGCCAATAACAACTCATCTAATAACTTTTTTTATTACCTGATATTTGAATCCCTAATGTCATTAACTTGGTAAGAGATCTTTTAGAAATGTTCATTTTATCAATAAATGCATCCATACAGTCCTTTAGAACAATTTTTAGCTGGTTGTAGTCACTATTTGTATCTGTCAAATTTTTATTTATACCAACTTCTAATGGTAGAATTTCAATACCATAACTTCTTACTTCAATAATTAAATCAATCTCTTTATCATCATTGGTTAATTTAGTATATTCTGGGCTTATATATCTTCTTTTTCTTGTAGTAACTGCTGTACATCCTTTTTCCAACCTAATAATTCAAAATGAAAATTTTTCAATTCCTTGGAATATATAGACTTGAAATTACAAATAGAACAGCATTTCAGAATAAATTAAATTTTCCAAGGTCATAGCTTTCAAATATTTTTTTAAATATTGGAGCAAAAAACATTAATAATCATATCCCTTTCTCTGTTAGAAGTCATGACGATATTAATATTCTTAAAAGTTTTAGTACTGCAATAAATAATAAATTAATAATTTTGGTTACATATGAAAATTCCTGTCATACTTGCTTGATATCAATATTAAACTTACAAAAAATTAGTAATTTTACTGGCCAAAATAGCATCTGTATCATTTTTGACTTGATCAAGCTTCACTTTCCATTTCATCAAATCTTCAATTAATTGCTAGATTAGACAACAAAAAAAAATATCAGTATCAACATGATAAAAACATACTGAAAATACACAGAATCTTTTTGTAAAAAATCAGAAAGATTGCAAATACCATATATATATGAATGGCTTACCAATTGATTAAGAGGATCTTTTATTATTTTCAAGACTTCATTAGAAATACTTCCTTTAAAAAATTTGGTCTAGTTTTTTTAATTAAATTATAACGATCAGGAGTTTTAAGTATAAGTTTCCAGTCTATAGATTCAGTAAGGCCAATTATTCTTGCTTCCATAGATTGCACTTCAATATTATTAATTTTTAAACGATTCATTGCGTTATTCCAAATTTCTTCAATATTTATCTTGCAGTTAATAAGTACAATGTCCATTTCTCATAAGTATTATCAATTAATTTTTTAAAACAGACATGAATATTGATATGGGCTAATTTAATACTTACCTCATTATTAGCTGTGTCATTATAATTTTTTTCAAATATAAATTTAATATCAACTAGAGTGACGATAACCACCACCACCCTTATGATAAACACTTACTCGCGTCTTTCTCTTGGTTCTTTTTCTTCATTTTTTATTTTTTTCTTGCTTACGGCAGCAGGCAATTTTTTTATTAAAAACAAAAAGTTAATGTGTAACTTTTACTTACTATTTTTCCTACTTAAATTCTTGTCTATCTTGAGAATCATTACCTCGTAACTCTGAGACTAGTTAACTAGTAATAATAAGTTTGATATCCCGGCGGACCACCAATTAAGAAGTTTGATCGACAAACGCATTATTGGGATTGGTTTTTTTTTTTTGGTACAATTTATTTTTTAACAATGACATGTTGTTGTCTGAAGACGTGTTAATAACTGACCAGAAGTACTTTTTTTTAATTTGCATTGATATGTCTTTTATTTATACAAGTATTTTAATTGAAATCAAAACGCGGAGCAGATCTTTTCTAGGTAATTATAAGATCCTCATCAAGATGGTGAATAATTGGTATTTGCTTTTCGTAATCAGTAGTAATAATATTATTATTATAAATATATAATTACATGTCAAGGCAGCACATCATTGAAAAGAAACAATTGATATGCAACATTTACAGTTTTCAAGACACTCATGCTACTTTGAACATTATACAGTCATTCTCTCATGTTCCTCATGTTCACAAGGCTAATCTGATTGCAAGGTCCTAATGATACAATGGTGCAACAGAATTCCAGGCGGGGAGTAAGCACTGGAGTTTACTAAGACCGCATTGTTGTCAAGGACACTTTTGCAAATTCTATCTAATTTCTCTCATTGGTGTTACTTGGGTGTGCATGCTTGCCCAAAAAGGTTTCCCGCAATGATCCTACACTCTAGGGTAAAGATGGTGGCTGTACAACCAAAAAGTCTTGCAACTCTGTTGAAGAGTTGTAACGTTAGGTACACATAAACATCCAGATCCATCAGATAAATGTTGATATGTTTTGTATAAATTAATTATTCCTAAATTTTCTGTTGTTGTGGGTCCCGAAGATGTGACCTTATGGATAGGTCTGACTGTATATTAATATATATATATATATATATATTAAGTTCGTGTAACTATTGAGACAACGAGTGTTTATTAGTATAATCGAGTTTCCATTCGAATTGTTCCAATGATTGAACTTTTATTCAAATAAACTATTTCGAAACTCTGAAACTGTTTTTAAACTCAAAACTAAAAAGCAAAATGATGTCATAAGTGCTTCATGTGGGAAAAGTATATATAATCAAATCTTTTTTCAAAAATGAAACTGAAAATAAAAAGATTTATTTGAATATTATCACGTGATGAGAATGTGAAGGATATATATATATATACCTGGATTACACAACACCCTAAAATCGTTAAAGTCATACATAATAATAAACCGTAAAATCGTAATTCCGTTAATTATTTATGGTTTATAAGTATTGCGAGCTTGTTATCTAAGTTATTTATTATGGAGTCACCAAGTCTGGCATACCTTTATTCAATAATGTTCAAAATTAAAATCATATACAACTATACTGCTTGATCAGGATTTCTATTCTAATAATAATAAGGTTTATTCGAATAAAATGAATAACGAATAATAATAATAATTCCATAATTCTATAATTCTATGATTCGAATAAAACAAATAAACGAATAAATCGAATAAATCGGATAAAACAAATAATTTTGATAATTAAAACAAAATAATTCGAATAAAGGATAATTCGAATAAAATGAATCAAACAAATAATTCAAATAAAACGAATAAATTTGAATAAAACGAGTAATATGAATAATTTGATTAAAAGCGAATAAAATAATAATCTGAATAAAACAAATAGACAAACAATTCGAATGAATGAACAATAATAATTCGAACAAAACGAATAATTAGAATAAGAATTTGTATTACTAATGGAAACTCTACTCTATTATGGAATCACCAAATCCGGCACACGGCTAATAATGTTCAAAATCACAAGCAATATATAAAACTAAAAGGGGTCCCTAACTAATAATTAATGTTGGCCAAACCATTAATCATCAGAAAGGGTTATGAATCAACCAATCACGTCAGCTTTATTGATTAATTACAGTCAAGGACCAATTTATGTGGTAATTTCTATACCAAAGCGCTAGGATATTATATTATTGAAAGGTTAATTATTTATTTTTATTGATTAATTTTTTCTTTTCGTTGAAGAAGATTTCAAGCATATTTGTACTTCTTGAGATATTACAAATAACATGACTTTTTACATGATTTTGTCCAATAAAATAAAATAGAATGATAAAGGATCACTAATTAATGATTACTTTTGTTAAATGCCAAAAGTACGTCATTGATGATGTCCTGATTAATGATACCTGACGAAATGTTTTTGTGGACAGGAAACTATTTCGTCAAATTAGACGAAATATGACAAAGGGGAGAAATGTAAAATTGATTAAAATAATAAATTTATATTCGCTCTTAAATTTATACTTCATTGAAATGTCGGATGGTAGTCAGCTTCAATTTGTAAATGCTAACTCAAGTGTTGATGACAATTCCTCTTAATTAAGAAGGCCAGCATCTACATTTTACCAAAGAGCCTATTAAAATCCTAAAGGACATTTTTCTGCCAAATATTTGTACTGTCCAAAAAGGTTCAACATGAAAGAAACGTCAAGTCTTGCGGCTCATTTAGCAAATCACTGTATTGGATGTGACACGCATAAAGACTTGTCAAAACATTTACAGATTCAATGCAATGCTCAAAAGTCGATGCATCATAGATACCGTATGTGTGCAATCAATAATAATAACAGGGATTTATTTGTTTAAAAATTATTACTATTTAATTAAATCATCATCATTAGGCATTGAAAACCTTTTACTGTTTGTGATTTCATTAGAATTAGGATATTTTTGATCGTATTAAAGGACTTTCTTTGGAATATGATGATGCAAAAAGGTGGAAAAGAATAAAAAAAAAATAAAGTTCATTATTTGAATTTTAATTTCCACGAATTTGCAACAATAGCAAATCTATGTAATTTTTTCCATGAATATGATATATTTCTGAAGAAAACATGAAATTTCAAATCACGGATCGGATTTTTTTACAGGGGGTACAATAGAACCATCTCAGGAAAAAAGATCTAAAAAAAGTGCTGCCGGAATGAGTGATTATAGAACGCCAGATACAACAATTCATGTGTAAAAGTCGTATCATCCCGTACCACAACTTTTTGTGTAAAGGTTGACGATTGGCAAATTTTATTTCACTGATTCATTCACCAATTAACAAACAATTCATAATATTAGATTTAAGCAAAACCATTCGCTGGTAGATTTCCTATGCATAAAACGATGAACTGGGAACTAGCTTATAAGAGAAATCTGAATGATAAATTAATTTTATATCAAAAGCTAATCGTCGCAGATGACCATTCCAAAAGTCTGACAGAAAACGCCAGAAAAGAAAATTAACGCTACTGATTCTTCAAAGGAAGCCAATCTGTTTGATTACGATTATTATAGGTAATTATCGCGAGAATCCTTACCGAATTTATATGTGGCTCGGGGGATTTGTTTATTGTTACTCGAACGAATTAAGGTGGTGCAAGATGCAAGCCATGAGAATTTTGCAGAAATGTCTAGGACTTTCTACAATGTTTATTTAAAAAATACTTTATGTTCAGTTAGCTTTACAGTTTCGGTAAAACCTTAAAAGTATTCGAACGCCTTGAATTAAAATAATATTGTAATGAACAATCACATAATAAAGATCGTTATAATATTGTTAATCGGCAAGGCAACCGTTGCAAGTACACGATCCAACACTATTATTAGAAGAAAGACAGATAATTTGCCTACTTTGCCTTTCCCGATTAGGTAATTGCTCTTTTCAGCAAACCTCATAGAAAATTTTCAAGTGCCCATAAAGGGAAATTGTTTCATCCTTTATTTAAAATACTAATTTTTAACTAGTTCATATTTTATATATTAATGTGTATGTGTGTGTGTACTCGTAATACTCATAAAATTTTATTGTAACAAAAGTTTTTGACCCTTACAATTTTCCAATGGCATTACTATTATATTCAGCATGATTAACAGGAACTAATCTATTGGAAAGACCAAAAGGCAAAGAAAGGGTCTACTCTGTTGTATAATTTATCTTTGAAATCATCATCTTGGGCAGTTATAAACTGGTCACTAAAATTTAGACCCCCGAAATTTCTTTGTGAAATAATAAATAATAATAATATTATTAGTAATAGTAATAATATAATGATAATGATGTGATGTTCAGTACGCCCTATTAATATATGCTAACTAGTATGAAACCTACACATATACAATCTAGTTATTTTTATTTGATAGAAATAAAAAGAAAGCCAAGATCCTTTTAAAAAAATCTACAACTATTCTAGAAAAATAGAAAAATCACAATGAAAATTTATTCTATTTCACTTACACAACATAACACAAAAAAAAATCAAGTACAAAAAACGTATTTGTTTTAACTCTCCTCTTTAAAAAAATAATATATATCAGATATTTGTAAATTATTTAACGTTTTTCCCCCAATATATTTATTTCAATTGTTACCTCTACCACATTTTAATATTTTCCTTTTTTCCCATAATATTATTTAAATATTTTGTTATTAGTGATACAATTCTAAAAATTTTCCACTTTAATAATGTCAATAATCACAAAACCTTCTTCTTCGAGAATATCAAATATCGATAAATCCACAATACAATCACGTTCTAAGTTACTTGATGAAGATGAAGATGAAAATTTTGAAGCAACAACAGCAAAAGAACCATACGAAACCAAATACATTAAATTGTCAAACATTGAAGCGTTGGATTTTTTTTTTTCATCAGATCAATCAACTGAAACCTTTTCAGATGTTGTTTTAATATTAATTCACAAAGCTATTAATTTAGCATTTGTTCTTTGTATGGTATCTTGTTCTTTGGCTGCTGGAATGTCGTTGATTTATAACAGGACCTTAAACCTTTTCTCATTTAATACTAGCTGGTCAATATTTTATATAATCAAAGCATCAATATGGGCTTATTGTTCTTATAGATTAAATTCATCTTTAATATCATTAAAAGATGCAATTATGGGCGCAAAAAGAATCGCAATGTCAATATCTGTTATTCATATTATTATTCATTGTTCAAATTATTATTATCATTTATTTATGGAATCACCAAGACCATTTAATTCTATAAATGAAAATCCTTTATTCTACTCAGGGACCGTATTCAGTTTACCATTTTTTCTATTTTTAGAAGAATTGCTAGAAGCTTATGAAAAAGAAAGCTTTCGTAAACGAGCATTGCTGAAAGTTGAACGTGAAAATGCTCAAAAATCTGTTTACAAAGCAATTGATAGAATTACTGAACGCAAAGCATCTTATTTGAAAGTGATAGCTTGTCAATTAAAACAAACAACAGATTTAGCAATCAAAACTTTAAAACAGTTATCTCCTGCTGATTTCTTAACACAACCTCATGAACAATTATCCGCTTGTTCCATCTCATTCCCTACAACTTCAATCAAAGCCATACACACTTCACTTAAAGCTGTCAATTATATTTCTTCACATTTGGATATTTTATCTTTATTATTATTTACTGATGTTCATAATGCCGAGGAAATTATTGGTACTTCAAATATTAGGCATGAATTTGATATTGGTGAAATGATTCAAAATGTCGCTGATGCTTTGGCTGGTGTTGCTGCTTTGGCTAGGGTTGAATTGGTTGTTTATCATATAGATTATGGATTGGAACATTTGAATGTTATTGGTGATGTAGCTGGTTTTAGGCATGCTTTATTAGATGTATGTGTGTAAATTTATATAAATGAAAAATCATATACATATATGTGTGTGTGTTACTTATTAACAAATAAATTTTTATTTTATTATCGTTACTTTAGTTTATTAAATGCATATTTGATGGTGCAAGTCCAGGTGCATGTGTGGAACTGGGACTTCAGATTAGGACCGTTGATAATGATGAAAAAGAAAGTGTAATAGTCAATCCACATGATAAAGTAATCATCACAGTCGAAATAATTCATAATGCTAGTACGATAATACCAAGCGATGGTGATAAACCAGTTTTGGTTTGTCCAGATGCAAACTTGACTTTCAAGGTATTGAATTATTTGGGTGCTACATTGACAGTAGACGAAGAAGATCATGATCATGGCCGACAGAGATTCGAAATTACAATCGAGATGGAAGCTGGTTCTTCATTGAATACATCGAATAATTTAAAAGTCAATGAAGAGATGTACTATCGTTACCCAAATTTGCGTATAACTGGTGAACCATCTGTAGAAGAATTGATCAAGACTTCACAACTTATGGGAGGCCAAAGAGTAGCATTATTTGCTACCAGTAAAAGTTTTTTTGCTAAACATATCACTAGTTGTTTAACCACCTGGGGAACTAACATATCTCATGTGCCTATTGGAGATGATGATTTTGAAACTGCCTCTAGGGCAGACTCCGTTTCTTCTGATAATGATAGCAATGATAATGATAATAATTCACCTGATAACAATGATACAGGAAATCAAGATGATTCATCAAATCTACCACCTACTTTTATAATGATTGATGACGATATTGATACATTGAAACATCAGCTTAAACAACTTAGTAATGCTCCATTTACAGGATTATCATCCTTATCATCAACCATGAAATCAAGTCTTGCTATGGGTCTTGGTGTTACTGGTCTTGGCGGTAATGGTGGTAGCAGTAATAGTCGAACGAAGAAACCGCCGCCTAGTTTACCATCACAAACAACTGCTGTAATTTATTTCACCTCTATAACAAAATACAAACTGGTAAAAGACTCTATTCAAGACATTGTATCATCGAACAATAATGGAACGTTTACCTTACTGCCACAAATATTGGTAATCCCGAAACCAGTAGGACCAAGAAGATTTCTTACCGCTTTTCATACAACAATCAATCAAATAGTTGTAGATCCCGTTTATATACCGATTGCTACTTCACCAATGAGTCCTATGGATCAAGTGATAATGTCAGATTCATCTAATAATTATTTTTCATTCACTAGAGCCGGTAATACTGTGATTAACAACAACAACAACAACAACAACAACAATAACGACAATAATATTTTTTTCTCATCATCGTCATCTTTTTCACCTGCTACTACTACTGGCATGATTTATCGAACTAATACAGCATCATCTTCATCACCATCAATTAATTCCACACCAACAAATAGACCCAAAAATGACAGTAGCAGTAGCACTTCTTGTCCAGTAAGTCCAAAAATGCAATTTAATTATAAAAAAGCATCAAATGGATCTGATGATTTTAATGTTGATTATAACAACATTAATGACAACAACGACAACAAAAAAATTAATAATGGCAACGGTGGCGGCAGCGGTGGTGGTGATGATAACAATGGTAGTATTGAGGTTGGCGGCGGTAATAATAATCCTATACCACTGTCAGTTGGAATTAATACTGGTGGTGGTAATATTATCGTTACAACACAACAACAACAGCAACATCAAAAACATTTATTATCACCATCTCAACCACCATCTATTCGTACACAAATACCGTCACCACTTGGATCAACATTACCAATATTAAACTCACCACAAGAACATGACAAAAAATCATCATCAGCATCAACACCACTACCAAAACAAGTATCCCCAAAACCAAATACAAAATCACAAAATAGTCAATCATCAAAATTCACAAGGAATGCTAGAGCCGGTAAAAATAACAGAAAAATACCAACAAATTCAGAATATGTTATTCCGCCTATTAATGTTTTGATTGTAGAAGATAACCCAATCAATCAGGCTATTTTGTCGACATTTATGAGAAAGAAAAAAATTAAATATGAATGCGCTACCAATGGACAAGAGGCAGTTGACAAATGGAAGGAAGGCGGGTTTCATTTGGTATTGATGGACATTCAATTACCAGTGATGGATGGTATTAAAGCAACAGAAACCATAAGAAAATTAGAAAAACACCAACAAATTGGTGTATTACCGTCATCTTCCATATCACAGCATGATCAACAAGAGGGGGGAATTCCTTCATCGACATCAATATCATCTACCACTACCACTACAATGAGATCACCAGTTATTATTTTAGCATTAACTGCATCATCATTATCATCTGATAGAAAAAATGCTTTAGCAGCAGGCTGTAATGATTTTCTGACCAAACCTGTTAGTTTAGAATGGTTAGAAAAAAAGATTTTAGATTGGGGATGTATGCAAGCATTGATAGATTTTGATGTGTGGAGAAAGTGGAAGAAAGATGATGATTCAGAGTCGGCAAAAGCGATTGAACCAAGGAAAAATCAAAGAAGTATTAGTACAACTCAAATACAAAAAACTAGAACTTACATTGAAGAAAATGATCTTGTAGGAAGAAAACCAATTGTATCGCCACTTTTGACCAAAAACAATTCATCCCCATCTGTACTTGGAGTCAAAAAAGGCGGCAATGTTGATGATGGTGATTCAAAAACAATGGAATCAGTAGTTTCAATAACAAAATTGACGACAGAAAATTTAGAAAGTTATCAACCTGTAAGAAGATCATCAGTAGTATCCCCTGTGACATCATACCCTATAACGGCTACTATTTCTTCCAATAGCAACTCATCTAGTTCCAGCACCATTATATCTAATTTGCCAAGAACACCAACAGGAGGTGTAATAATTTCACCTGCTAATATGATACCATCATTACCATCAACTCCTAAAAATTTTCAAGTATCACCACCTAGTAGTATTGATAGTATTAATAGTGGTCATGGTGGTAGTAATAATATTAATGTTAGTGGTACAAGTGCTATTAATTTTCCTATCCATAAACAATCATTCGTTCTTAAACAAAGCGGGTTGTCAAGAAAATTACGAGCAAATGATGTTGACGAAGGTACTAACATCTGAAAAGAAAAAAAACTTATATATATATACATATATTAAAAAAAAAATCTTTTTGTATAATATTTTGCACACATATATACACATATACACACACACATACACACACACATTTTACATACATAATACACATTTTTTTCATTAACATTTCTTTTTTTTTTAAAAATTTAGCAAATTATTCCGATTTTTTTGTGGAAGATAGTGCAAAAGTTTTGGTAGATGATTATGACAAATTTTTTTAAAAAGAAAAAATTATAATGTTGAAAAATAAATTTTTTTCTTGCATAGAAATTTTATTTAATAATATTAATAGTAATAATAATAATAATAAATAATATAACGTATTGAATTATCATGATGATTGTAATAATTAGATTGTTTTAATTAATTAGTTTATATTTTTATAATTAATTCATTATTAATTATAGTAATAATAAAATTTTTTTAAATAACTTAAATATACAAAGAAACCAATATAAAAATTCATCATTATCACCACATTAATATTCAAATGAACCAAGAAGTAAACCAAGAAACCCAAGAAATACCAGTATTCCAAATTCTTGATTTCAAAATGTATAATACTACCATACAAAACACCAATAAACCAAACAGAATTAACAACCTATCTGTCCAATCACTTTGCTCCAACTTGGTTATTAATTGTTTTGAAGAACGTATTATTGATGTTAAACCTCTATATTCATTATGTGTTGACTTTAAAGTTTTGGATGATTCGTCTTTTATCAATTAACAATAAAACAAATTATAAATTGAATGAATAACATTTAATAATCAATGATGAATGATGATGTATGATGAACGATGTAGTAGTAGTAATAATAATAATGATAACTACCGAGCACTTTTGCAGAATAGACACTTCTTTCAATTTCTTGCTGCATTAATTGTGTGGTACGTCTTAAAGCTCCTGTCACATCACTTGTAGAATTTAATATAGCATCTTCTGATCTATATATAAATGTATTTATATAGATAGATTTGTTTCAATTTCAATTACAACAAACTTCAAATGATAATTATTCGATATCTTAATTTTTTTTTTTAATCATGTATATTTTTAATACATACGAAAAGTTTCTACGTTTTAAAACACCATCTCTTTTATCATAATCATTATCGTCGCCATTTACTTTTCTGGATAATAACATTTCACGCTGATGTTTAAATTCCTTTTCTATATTTTGTTTTGATGTAAGTATTGCTCTTCTGATTGAAGCTTGTATTCTAACTTTCCCCAAATATATATATATTTGCAAGTGTTTGAGAAAATAAAATTTATCAAGTGACGATGATTAAATCATTGATGAAAAAAAAAAAGATTCAACATACTGTTTAAATTGTTCTTCATTTTTTTTCAGTTTATTCAACACAAACTGTTTATCTTTTTCCTTTTCTTGTTCGTCAGCTGATGACTTGACTTCCTATGTCGTGTTATTAACATTATTATACAACTCTTTACATATCTCATGATAATTGAAAACGCTTGATATATATATATATATAAGAATAAGTAACCTCAATCCATTTATCCAAATCTTTAACTTCTTCTTTAATTTCCAAGATCATTTCTTGTTGTTTTAATAAATCTACAACATTATTTAATTTTGTTATTTGATTTTCTAGATCTAGTTGTTGTTTGTTTATATTTTCAAAAAGTTTTTGAAGATCTGGTGATAAAGAAAAAGAACTATTAGATATTTGTGCCATGATATTTTTAACATTTAAAACAAAGAATATTTGATACAAATCCTGTACTACCCAAGAGGGATTAATCCCAGGGGTAGATTACCAGGTCCATATTTGTTTAACTCCTTTGTCCTTCGTCTAAACCCAATTCACAAATACTAGCTAGCTTTACAACACGTGAAGCATCAAAGAATTAAAGAATCCAAATATGCTACACCGTCAGCAGAAGTTGCGGGTACTGATAATATTTTATATCAATAAAGGACAACAATCGCCATGGTTTTACTACTGTTGTGAAATGTTTCTAAAGTTTCATAATTTACTTTGACAAAAGGGATTTGAAATTATTATCATCTCAGGTAAATCGATAGCATTTGCATGTATTGCTATTTTTGCATCTTAATTAGTAAAAATATGAAATTCGCATCTTGTTGTCCCTAGTAATAGTAAGAAGCATGCCGAGTTATAGACAAACCGGTTTTACGAATTTAATACATAAATTTCGTCGTCGAGGTTTTTTTTCCTTTTGGTATGAAATCTTCTTTTCTCCAAATAAAAATCACAAATATGATATTAGGCTTGATTCTGACTTATGAAACGGATCATGCTATAGTGTGTCGCGTGTTTATTTCAATAAACGGGGGAAAATAAAATCAAACAATTTATTTATTGAATATTTAAAACAATAAAAAGGAAAAAATTAAAACGCGTTCGAATGTCTTTAATACTTTAACGTTAACTACGCGTAATAATAAATACAATGATATTAATATTAAAAAATAAAACGCACTTGAGCTGTCTTTAATGTCTGGATTCGAAACGACTTTTACATGGTACATAAAAAACAGTACAAATTTTTGTAAGTTTTAACATTGGTATTAGAGCTTGATTTGATGTTAAAGTTGTTCTTGTATGGCTTTTAAATATTCAAAATTAATGATTATTAGCGTAGTATTATTATTATTACGAAAGAAAAAATTATCGAAGTAGAAAATATTCGGTTGGGAGCTAACCAACAATGAGTATGAGTGATCTAAACTTGGAATGATTTTCTTTTGTAAACCGCATTAATATTTCAAGTTGAGAAAAAAAATTTACCCGATATTTTATTGTCATTTGAATAAAAATCAAATTTAAAACGTTTATGACCGGAAAGTTGGCTTTCTTTTATTATCTCTTTTAACTGATTTATTTTGTTGTCGTTATAACAGAAATAGTAAAGGGAGAAGAAAATATGATGATGATTCATTAGCTCCGAGGTAAATACACATTTTAAAAATTATGATTAATGGGTTTATTAATGTTCATTAAAAGTAATATTATCGTTATTATTCAATCTGTCATTAATAATAAGACGTGCAAAACTTCATGTTCATGAAGATGATGTGACACATATATGTACTGTATGTACAAGGGTGAATATTGACGCGGTTTAATCAAATTTGGAAATTCACCAATTTGTATATATGGCAAAGTCGAATTTATATGTCAAAATGTGTTAATTCAGACACCATATATATCACCTAAGGTGCAGGAAGCCAGAATCAATATTAATAAAGTTATTCACTAAATCTAATTAAGGACTATTTAAATTAAAAGGTGATTTTGAGGGAATTTGTGTCATTTGTTTGGATGAATATAATTGATCAACCATTCTATTTTAACCAAGAGTTAACTAATGCACATTGTAGTAACCAAGTGTTAAGACATGATGTGAATAATGATTGAAGTTTTTTTGTGAGAAGTAAATATTTGATATAAGATTTTGATTAGAAATGATGGAGTTATTCCTGCTCCAAGATTTACAGGCAGAGTATAGTCAAGGTTTGACTGAGTAAATGTTGTAGTAGTTGGTTGATTTGCGTACATTTAGAAGATAACTAATTTGCAAATTAATTGATTGTTAGGTTGTTGATCATGTGGTTGAGATTAATCGACATGAAAATAAGTGTGGTGTTTTTGTGGGATTGATTGCAGTAAAGGCAGTTAAGGTTAGGTGGGATAATTATGTATCAAATTTTTTATTGTAGGTGAGTATGGAAGATTTCAAGTTTGAATGAGAATAATGATAAATGGTAGAAGCAAGATTATTTTTACAAATTGTTATAATGGCAGAACATTAATTAAACAAGCAGATAATAATACCATGTGAGAAACACATCTTTCTTTTATATCCTTAAATTCCATTTTGCAGAGAATAAAGTAATAGATAATTCATCTAATGTGGTAATTTATCTAAATATCCAAATTCATTTGATTAGAATCTATAAAGGCAATGAGTATAGGTATATTAATATAGCCAATTTTAATATTGATATTATTAAAAAATTAAAATTAAATAATAATAATTACCACCATTATTTCCAATGATTGTAACTTTATTGGAGTTTACAGGCTGAGGAAGATTTGTAAAATTCAGTAATCTGCTAGTGTAAGTAGCATTTGGATGTATAGTCGCTGTAATTGTTGAAGGATCATATTCAATACAATCCATTTCTTCAAATATTTTTTTAGTTGATATTGCTTCATTTGAATCTATAGAATAACCTTTTAATATTTTATTCCAAAACTCAATATTATCAGAAATTACTTTAGCAGTTGGACATTTATCTGGATCAGCATCCATACATTTGTAGGCTAATTCAATATAAAGCTTTGGTGTGTTTATTGAGAAGCCAGGCCTTACTCCTTCACATATTTTGAATGCAAGATCTAAATCATGTGAAACATTACTAAAAGGTTGTTGACCTGTTGAGATTACTGACATCAATACTCCAAAACTATATATATCTGATTTTAATGTATAGGGTTTACCATTTAATATCTCTGGTGCTAAGTATGGTAATACTCCATATACATTATTTTCATTTGATTTTAAAGTTTGATTAACTGGAATGGATAATCCCAAATCTGCAATAAATGAAAAATTGCCATTTTGAAGAATATTGCCACTGTGAAGATCATGATGAATGAATTTTTGTTCATGAATCTTTTTTAAACCTTCAATAATATCATTAAGAATTTCTATTTTTTTGCACCATTGTAAAACTCTAAATTTTTTTGTTAAATAATTTAGAAGACTTCCATCTTTCATATATCTCATTACATATATATAATCTTTTGTGACTGGATCTTGTGTTAATCCATAAATTTTAATTACTGCACCATTTTGGTTAAATTTAATATAATTTTTAAACTAATAAAAAAATAATTTATAATATTTGTATTTTTGACAAAAAAATGAATGAATCCAACAATAATAAATATTTTTACCTCATTTGAAAATTCATCAGGAATATTTTGTGAATTATGTAATTTTTTTAATGCAACAATCATATCTTCACAACATCTTTTATTATGAACTACATCTACATATTTTTTACCATTTATCCATATAGCTTTGTATATAGTTGCAAAACCACCCTCACCTATCTTTTCAATACCTTTTAATTTGTCATAAGAAATCCATTCAAGACAAAAAGTTGATTGAAGATAATCAATGTTATTATATTCTGTTGCTTCAAGTTGTGTACTTTTTATTAATTTATCAATGGTTTTGTTGCCACTGCTCCACCCTAGAGTTAATAATTGTGGATCACAAGATTGACACCATGAATAATCAGTGTTATATCTATAACAAGTTGGACATTTACCATATCTTTTTTCCCTTTTGTTTGAATATTCATCTTCATTATTAGGTAATATATATAATATTTCGATTTCCAGAAATGACAATTCTGATAATTATTATAGGTATATTAATACAGTTAATTTTAATATTGACATTGATATTGAACTTAAAATTAATCAATAGTCAATAACTAATTAATAATAATCACCATTATTATTTCCAATGATTGTGACTTTATTGGAGTTTACAGGCTGATGAAGATTTCTAGAATTCAATAATCTGCTAGTATAAATAGCATTTGGATGTACAGTTGCTGTAATTGTTGAAGGATCATATTCAATCTTATCCATTTCTTCAAATATATTTTTAATTGATTTTGCTTCATTTGAATCTATAGTATGACCTTTTAATATTTCACACCAAAAACAAATATCATCAAAAATTTCCTCAGCAGTTGGACGTTTATTTAGATCAGCATCCATACATTTGTAAGCTAATTCAATATAAAACTTTGGGGTATTAACTGAGAAGCCAGGCCTTATTCCTTCACATATTTTGAATACAAGGTCTCTATCATGTGAAACATTACTAAAAGGTTATTGACCTGTTGAGATTACTGACATCAATGCTCCAAAACTATATATATCTGATTCCAATGTATAAGGTTTATTATTTAATATCTCTGGTGCTAAGTATGGTAATACTCCATATACATTATTTTCATTTGGTTTTAAAATTTGATCAGCTGGAGTAGATAATCCCAAATGTAGATTAATCTTTCCACCCTGCTTTCCTAACCAATAAGCATGTAGTGTAACAAAGGGATTACTGATCACTTTCACAAATCCTAGGCACTTATTAGTTGGGAGACAGAGTGCTATGGGTGTACATAGTAGTTTGGGATTTGGGAAGCATATATTGTAGGCATCCAAGTCCATGGTATGTTTTAAGAAAGCTTTCTCACTTTATCAGTTTTTCAACAACAAATAATAATAAATTCTTATCATCCTAGGGTCTAAAATGTTACTGAATGTTATAATGCAATATTCAAACAGTACTTTCATTTGAAGGAGTCTGAAATTCCATTAACTCCAGTGATGCTAACAGAATCATCAATATTATGGACCTATTGTTGATCCTTAAAGTATGCATTTCTAATTTTTTGATTATTTATCATTGTGCTTTTCATCTAATTAATGGTGTTATTTCACAATGTAGAACATTATCATCATAAATCTCTCTCTACTACAAAGTGAGTAATAAATACTTTGTGCCATCAACCTCACAAAATCGTACCAAGTACTACTGTTAAAAATTCTAACAAAAAAAAATAGAAAAAAAAAAAACACTGTATAGGGGTAGGGCTTCTATTCATAATACAAATTCTTATTCAAATTATTTGTAATACAGTTGACCTTTAATTCAAATTTAAAAGTTTATTTGAATTAAAAATTTAATTCACTTTATTCAAATTATTTGGTTTATTTGTTTTATTCATTATCAGAATCTTGGGTTTGTTCATTCATTTTATTAGATTATTTGGAATCATGGGTTGTTCAATTACTTAAATATTCAAACTATATATACAACAAGGTTTAATATTGATTTTATTATTATAAAAATTGAAATTAAAAATGAAACTAATAAGGAAAGACTGAAACAAGATTCATGTTTCTTTTAATAAATAGCAATCTTTCCAGTGAGCTTGAATTTAAACTGGACCTTAATTATTTGTTTTATCCAAATTAATTTTTTCGAATTATTTGCTTTATTCAAATTAATATTAATATTAATGTTAATTTCCTTATTCGAATTAATTTTCTTATTCGAATTATTTGTTTTATTTGAATTAAAATTTATCTGAATAAACTTTCAATGTAATTTGAATACTCAAATTCATAACGAATAAAGTGAATAATTTGAATAAACCTTATTTGAATAGAAACCCTATATAGGGGGAGACAAATAACCAAAATTATTGTTTCATCCCAAGGTTCATTACTAAAAAAATTCAGAACTTGCTTCTATCATGCAAATTATTTCATATAGTTGTATAATGAACAAAAATTTATTATGTTGCATGTGTATTTCTGGGATTTTATTATATTGGTGAATATATATGATTGAGAATTTCTCTTACAATACTACTAAGAATAACTTTTTGGTGGTGGCAGAGCATCTTTCTTTTTTCGTTTAATACATTACCTACCCAAAAGTTTCAGTTGCCCTAAATTGATGAATTGCACGAAAGTGTACATAATAGCTATATACACAAAAAATTTATATTATTTTGATCCTAGGTATTCATGTGCTTAAATATAAAATTTTAGATTTCTAGCCTTTATACAGTTCAAATAACAATAAAAAAACGAATTTCAATTATTTTTGAAGTGAAAAAAATTTTATTATTAAGAATGGCTTAAATTTTCAACAGCAGCCTCTTATCAATTAGTAACTAGTAGGCCATCCATTGTTTGCAATGCATTCTGCAATTCTACAAGACATGCTTTCAATTAATTTTAAGTAAATGTTATTTGAAATTTATTCCATTCTTCAATCATAGTGGCCTCTTATTCATTGAAATTTCTTGCTGGTTTAGGTTTTTTTGAATACGAGTTTCTAATTCACTCCACAAATGTTCAATCGAATTTAGGGTTTGGTCAACTTTCTAAGATTTTTATTTCGTTTGTTTTTAGCCATTCTTTAACTTTTTTAGCAGTATGGACTGGTGCATTATCATCTTGGAACAGATAACCTTGATTATTAAAACTATTGTTTATTAATGGCAACAAAGTAAGATTGGAGTATCTCAATGTAATCATGTTGATTCATTTTCCCATCAACTTTTACAAGTTGACCCAATCCTTTTCCAGAAAAGCAGCCCCAAAACATTACACTACCACCTCCATGTTTGACTATAGGTCTTAGATTTCTCAATATCAAACCTTGTTCCGAGTGTCCTCCAAACATGACCTGGGCCATCATTTCTAAACAAGGTGAACCTGCTTTCATCACTCCATATTACATTTTTCCATTTTTTACACTCTAATCTTTTCTTCTTAAGCACCAACCCATACGCTTTTGTCTGTGTCCCTCATTAATAAGAGGCTTACATGCTGGAACACAAGAAAAAATGCCAATATCATGCAGGACTCTTCTAAGCGTGTTGATTGAAACTTTCAGACCAGTTTTCTAATTAAATCCTTTTTTTATTATTTCAGCTGATTCAGTGTTGTTTTGTTTGACAATTGCTTTCAATACTTTTTGATGGTCATTATTTAATATTTTTGGTTGACCACTTTGAGTTAAGTCTTTGATACTATCTCTTATTTCATAATTCTTTATAGTTCGAGTAACTGTTGTTCTAGAAAATCCAAGAATTTTGCTAATTTTTACTTTTGAATTGCCGCCTATATGGAGATTAATAATTTGACCACGTTCAGTTTCAGTTAAATTAGACATTTCACGGAATTTAAAATTTTATCAAATCTTTAAAAAATTGTTAAAAAAAAAACTACCCAAAATAATGTAAAAAAAATTTTTCTTGAGAATTAGATGTAATTAGGTTATCGCATCTAAAAATCTCATATGTTGATATGTAGGTTCTTAAAATTCTTCGTGTCGAATTTTTTTCTTTACAAAAATGATCGGAATTCGTTTTTTATTATTATTATTTGAACTGTATAAAGGCTAGAAATCTAAAATTTTATATTCAAGTACATGAATACCTGGGATCAAAATAATATAAATCTTTTGTGCAATTATTATGTACGCTTTTGTGCAATTCATCAATTTAGGGTGACCAAAACTTTTGGGTAGGTGTATTTAGTATTAGTGTGATGAAGATCATACCGTTGATTTGTTTATTTTACTTTTATAAGAAAAGCATTATTCTATTATTAAAAACATTTTTACTATTATTATATTATTTGTCCTGTTTTTTTTTACTTTTAAGAAAAGCGTTATGCGCTTAGTTTTATTAATTGACAATTGAATTAATTGTCTATTTTACTATTTGCGAATTATCATTTGTCCCGTTTTTTTTTTTAAATTTAGAAAAGCATTATGGGTGTAATTAATTATTTGTTTATTACTAAAAATGCTAAAAACATTTTTTACTATTATTATCATATGTCCTGTTTTTTTTGGATCATTGATTTGTTTACTTTTATGCATTTACAATTGAATTGACGACTGAATTGATTATTTGTTTTTTATTATTGTTGTGCGCGAAAATGAAATTTATGTGAATTCATACAACATTTACTAAAAATACTTTGATCACATTCATTTTGCAAAGCTGGATTGCAAGCTTCGTAAATCTTAACTTTAACACTTACTTTGATCAAACCCGCCTATATGATTATTGAATAATTTATTAATATTCATCTTACAAGCTTCATAGATCTTGACAAACACTTACAAAAAAACCAACTATTAAGAGAGAAATCTGAAAAAGAAATCCAAATCAAAAAATTACAAGATGGAGCCAATCTACAAAGAACCTTGGGGGAAGAAACTAAAAGATTGGCCCGAGAATAAGAAAAGGATATTAAGAGAAGCAAAAGAACAAAAATTAATTTTTGTCCTCGCGCAGCAAAAAGCTTTCATTGTGTCCTCAGTTGTAAGCTTGTTGATTTTGACAAATGTAAAGAATAAACAATTTAATTATACACAGTTACAATTTGTTTGTTTCTGATTGATTTATTTAATGAATTTTTTATTCAAATGTTATGATGTATATATTTATTCGCTTTGTGGTTTTTTCCACAATTCTTTTAAGCGATGAGTACATGTTACATGTTCTTCTTCATCTTTTACATAGCCTTTTCACATGATAATGTCAGTTTAGCGGATTTATTGACCAAGATCTGGAATTTATACAATGCTATGTGCGCTATTTATCCAAATTTCAGATTTTCAAAATGACATCTCTGTAATGATTTTACAAGGAACACAAGTGGAAGAAATGAGTGTAGATATTTAAAGAATACCGTAATAATATAGCCAAAAATTTTTTGACATGAACTCAGGTATAAAATATTGTGGTTTCTTTACTTGCTATTGCTTAATTCCTTTACAACAAGATGAATGTGTTATGTAAAGAACAATTCTTAATCAAGCGAAATTGCAGTGTGAGTACCTTGGTAAAATGTTAATAATTGGCTACCTGGAACAATATACATCGTTGTTCTCATTTGAATTGGTCTTGATATTATTAAATTTGAAAAATTGTTTAGCAACAAAAACACAATTATCAGACAAAGATGACTCTAAAGAATTCATAAAATAAAAATATTTATTCGGCTAAATAAATATATGAGTCCAACATATATTACTAATACCAATGCTAATAGTCGACCAAGAGTTTCTTTGGCTAATTACAATATCAATATCTATTGCATGGTGGCAATAATAATAAAATTCATAATTCAAGAGAAAATTCTGTATGTTTGATATTTGTGTGTGAATAAACCGCCTTAATATTTTCAAAGTTTTTCCCCCATTCACTTGAAGACATATTAAATTCTACATTGATTGGTATTTTCTTGAGAAGTGATTGTTGTCGGTTTTTATATCGGATTCGTTCAAGAGCCTTATTATTAACCGGCCTGCGCATAAATAAATGCAAAAAAAAAAATTTAAACCAATGAATAAATTTATATATAATTTCCTTTCTCCCCATCCACTCACCCACCTCATACTAAAAAACTTACGGATAAGTCCCAATAGCTAAAAGAAAAATATCCGAATATTCTCTCAAATATTTGTCACTTAAACAACCATTAATAATATTTAAAAAATTCCAGTAACTGTCTCGAACTCGTTGTTCCTTTTCCTCACAATATTTAATAATTAATCCATTTCTCAACTTTGACAATTCAGAGCTTAAAATATAAGAAATTTCAAAAAAAATATAATATTCAATTCTAATTGTTGTTGGTTTTGTTGATTCTTTATTATTATTATTATCATTAACATCATCGTAATTATCTTTTTCGTCACCATCATCATTCCTCTTCTCAACATACATCTCTTTTTCCATAACGTGAAAAAGTTGTACCACACAAGTTTCTAGATTGCCGAAACCTTCTTTCAAATCTTCCTTCTTCAGTTTTAAAGTATCATCATCGATTTTTTCTTGATTGGCCGGGAAAATTATAGAGCGATATAATTTTTGGATTAAAGAAAAAATATCCATTAAAATTCTTATTGTTACTTCCTTGGTATTACTGCTACTGCTACTGCTACTGCTACTGCTGCTACTGCTGTTGATTATGTCAGGACCAATATTGGTGTTTAAGGTGTTGTCATCAACATTATTTTCACTATTATTATGAGTATTTCCGTTGTTAATAATATAAAAATTATTTGTGAAAAAAATGTGGTAGAATAACACTCGTTTGTCGAGCGATTCAATTGAATTAGATTTTAACAATTCAGCTTTTCTATCAACCATATTTTTAAACGCAAACTAATTAATTGTACTGATTGAATCTTTAAAAATTGTTATAAGGGAAGACAAAAACAAAACGAGCCTTTTTTGATTGTTTATTTTCATGGTCATTTTAATTTTTTTGATAACAATACATGTTCCCTAGATGACTGCGAGCAATTTTTTATGTATTGTATTGTCAAATAAGAGAATTATGATGTCTTTTAAAAATCGTTAACATGTATTAATATTATTTTTATCGTAATATGTAATGTTCTTTATTGAAATTTGATGAGAGCAGTACAAGCACCTTCTCTAAAAAATTTAAAAATGCTATTACTGAAATATATACTAATGCGTAGAAATTTAACTATTGTTATTTGAATTTTTATATTTCTATGATTTTCGTTAGCATTAAAGTAATGATGATGATATTAACTTCACAAAGTAAAAGTTACTTTTGGAATGAGACATTATAATCGCACAATACAGTGCATTTTGAACCCGTCAAGGGAAAATGAAGTATCCAGTTTTGTTACACAAAAGACCGATTCATTATGTTGAATGAAAGAGTAAAATAAAAGATTTCTTGACAAGGACAGGAACGGCTCGGTTTACAAACCGCCTGTTTGGCGATTTGAACCGAGGTTGTTTTATATTCTAATAATAATAGTTTATTTAATTTTTTATTTAATACAAAAAATACCAAAACGTGTATGTAGCTTATGTTTTGATAAATATTTGAAATCCAACGCTCCGGGATTTTCCATAGCTTAAGTAATAATAATAAAATTAACATAATCACGCAGTTTGAAAGTTTCACGTATGAAAGTATAGGTTTTGCTGAGTTGATTATTTTTTTTTTCGTTCAAAACAATTTAATGATTTTATATCTGGGCAAAATATGTGTTTTCACCAATCACTCAAAAATATACAATTCAATTAAATTTGTATATAACATTTTCAGATTTTAAAACTTTTACTGTATATATTAAAAAAAGTATTTTGGTTCACAGGAGTGTGCATTTTATAGTTGCTTAATAATAATAAAAATAATCGATTTAAAAAAATTATTGAAGTTTGACAAATATTATAAGTATTTTTAAACTGCGATTTGGCAGTCCCTTGAAAATGACGAATTTTTGTCGATTTCATTTTTTCAAATCGTAAATTCGTTTTGTTAATGGAGATGCTGCCACGCGCATGATTCACATGAATTTTTTGAATTTATGAAAGGAAAAATATATTTAAATGTTTCTAAAAATATTTGGTTGCATTTGGAAGGTTAGACAGAATAGATTGAATGGTATTATATTTGCGATTCTGGTTTGGTCACGTGATTTGTTAGGATAGAAAACACCAAAAATGCGTCAAAGGAATTTGATTATCATATGAATTAAAGCTTCTAACTCCTTATTAAAAAAAAAAAAAGTAAAAAGTAAACCGATGGAATTAAAACTAAAGACCTAAGCTTCATTTCCATCGATTTACTTTTTCTTTTTTATTAGAAAATTTTTGAGTTATAAGGCTTCAAAGTTAGGACATTTTACATATGCCTATACAGTCCACACTGTCTATAACGGATCATTGGGACCAGGGAAAATTTTTGACCGTTATAGAGAGAATCCTGTATAGAAAATTGTACTATATTTGAGTCTTGTGGAATAAAAAAATTTTTATTACTACATAAAAAATATTATTCAATATTATTAATATTAAAAAAACAGTAATTTAGATTGTTTTGTCTGATTTTTTTAATTTTATTTGACATTTTTTAACAGTTTAAAGCATATTGACTTGAAATAGGAGGTGTCTCTTTGATGTCTTCTTCATCCTGATTGTCTTCATTAAAATTCGACATAGAAATTATTTCTTCATTCAGCAAATCATCATCATCAACGGAAAGATATTCTAATTCTAGATAAATTACTTTTAGTTCATTACATCATACCTTATATCATAATTGTTTATTTTTTTATTTTGTGATTACGACGGAGTAATAGTAATTTTTATGAATAATATTAATAATAATTTAGATTTAGAGGGATCTGCATCATATTTCAGATCACGTGAATCTGTTATAGGAGTGTTGATTTATATGCAAGTCATATGAAGTGATTTTCAGATACAATCCGTTATACGTAATAAATAATATCCGTTATTATTATAAAATCGGGACCAAACTTTTAATCCGTTATAGACAGTATTAGTATGTAAATTGAATGATCTTCCTTGTGATTTCCTAAAAGGCCGATGATTGGCTTAAAAATTTTTCGTGATACAAAAAATCTTTCCAATAAAAGAAATTTGATTACTTAAATTAGAAAGATCTTTAAATTTTTAAGTTTCGGGACCGTGATATTTATAGATGACATGAACCACACTTTTTTCTTTTTATTGAGAAAAACCACTTTCACGTTTTCCAACATGAACAAATTTGGCATAAAGGCGCAGTATTTTGATATTTTAATAATCATTGTACAACAACAACAAGGAACAGGGAAACAAAGGTTAGCTTCATTTGTTCTTTTCCTTTGTGATGTCGCACCAATTTAATTAATTTTTTTCTTCAATATGGTAAGTTGAAAATGCATGTATGATATATATGATATAAAATGAACTTTAAAAAAAAACTATTTCTATATTTATTATTCTTTATTTAGGAGGAAAACGTCAAAAAAATGAAAAGTTTCGAAACATTAATTTACACTGATCAAACTTTAAAAGTTAGCTTAACACCTGACAGATTAGTAACAATCGAGGTAATTTTTTATTTCAGTTATTATTATTTCATAAATAAAAATCTATTTTTACTAAAAAGGGCTATTCTTTTTTTTTTTCAATCATTATTAGACACATAAACCACTACCAAAACTTGCTCCACGTGAACCTGTAGCTAGAGATTCACTTATATCAAAATCACTTCCTAAACCCCCCGGAATCGAAGAGGAAGTAGAGGATGAAGAAGACATTGAGATTTTAGGAAGGCGTCCGCAAAAAGAAAATTTATATGAATTTCTGAAAAATTCTAGTCCGGAAGATTATAAACATAAAAACAAAGTTTCACAAAAAGGCGACATTTCATCAAGGAGACGTGGTAAACCTTTTGATAAATTAGATACAGTTTCTGAAATATCTAAAAGTCCCGGCTCGCCCCGTCATACTCCTTTAATTCCTTCAGCTAAGTCAACATCATCACTTGGTTCACCTTTTTCACTGGCATCACCTCGTCAACAACCTGCTGCTAATTCATCATTACACCACAGTAAATCCTTAGATTTTCCCAACAATATCAAAAATGTTGGTTCTCCAGTAAAACAAAAAAAACCTGGACAACTTAATTTATACAATGATATTAATGATGAGGATTCCGATGATGAGTTCGGTGTTGATGGAAAAAGAAGAAGACGTCCAACTCAGGATTTAATAGACTTTTTGAAAACAACACCACCAAGTGAAAAAACTACTTTTCCCGACTCTGTTAAAGATTCAAATTATAATACTAATGGCAAAAAAATGGAAACTAAAATTAGAAAAATATTCTCAATACTGAAAATGAGATCATCATCTGACGATTCTAATTATTCATCAAGTGGAAACAGTTTAAATTCTGCAAATTCTACTTTCTCCACTTCATCGACATCTACTGCCACTTTGGTTACTAAACAAAGGGCTAGATTTATTAAAATTGAAATTCCACCTCTTCCGCCTCTTCCTCCTAAAGATAATAACGAACAAACTGGCTTTCTTGGTGTTCAAGGGAAAAATACACATCAATTACCTAAAGCAAAATCAACAAGTAATTTGCCACACGTTCCAAGTAAAACAAATCCAGATGATTCTTCTAATTCTCTAACTAAAGTCACAGCTACACTTGATGGCAAACACAACGAGTTACAAGTTAGCAATCCTTCTGCCAAAACGGTTGTTTCAAACAACAATGACAACAATAATAATATTAATGTCAACACTTCTTCATCAAAAGAAATATCTCGTGGAACCAGTTCATCTTCACCACCATCATTATCACCTAAAAAACTTCCTACTCCACCTAAAACTATTAATATCATTAATAATTCTAACAA